CGGACGAAAATATATATGGTAGCTAGACTTAATTCAGTACACTATACCAAATTTCGGGCAAATCGAAGGATATATAGGGACTTTGGTGTACTATTTTCCTCAAATCGGACGAGACTATATATGGAAGCTATATCGAAATCTGCACCGATTTTCACGAAACTTAACACACATCATTCTAGACCCAATTCATTACACTATACCAAATTTCGTGCAAATCGAAAGATATATAGGACTTTGGTACACCATTTACATTAAATCGGACGAAAATATATATGGGAGCTATATCTAAATCTGAACCGATTTTCACGAAACTTAACACACATCATTCTAGACCTGATTCAGTACACTATACCCAATTTCGTGCAAATCGAAAGATAGATAGGGACTTTGGTGCACCATTTACCTCAAATCGGACGAAACTACATATAGGAGGTTATATCTAAATTTGGACCGATTTTCACGAAACTTAACACACATCATTCTAGATCTAAATCAGTACTCTGTGCCAAAATTTGGGCAAATCGAAAGATAGATAGGGACTTTGGTACACCATTTACAATAAATCGGACGAAAATATATATGGGAGCTATATCTATATCTGAACACGAAACTTAACATACATTACTATGGACTTAATCCAGTACGCTATGCCAATTTTCGTGCAAATCGAAAGCTATTTAGGGACTTTGGTGCACCATTTACCATAAATCGGACGAAAATATATATGGGAGCTATATCTAAATCTGAACCGATTTTTCCCAATTTCAAGAGAGTTCGTCTTTGGGCCGAATAATTGACCTATGCCAAATCTCATCCAATTCGGATCATAAATGCGACCTGTACTTTGTTTACAATTTAACATGCACAGACAGACAGACGGACGGACGGACATGCATAAATCGACTTAAAAAGTGATTCTATGCATATTCTAAAAAGGAACCTTGTGTCTATCTCGTTTCCTTTTGCCTGTTACAAACATATGCACAAAGACATAATACCCTGTACCGCAGTGTGTTGAAGGGTATAAAAAAGGGGGTTATATGTGGATGACCCCAAAAAGGGGGCGAATATTGAAAAAATTTTGGTAGGGAGATTTGTTACCATATACGACTACAAAATACCAAATTGCAGCGAATTCGATTGAAAAGCAAGCTCAAGAACCCCAAAATACCGAAAATTGGGGGGTCACCCTTATATGGGGGATATCCGAAAAAATTGACCTATAATTATAATTTTTTGTGGAGAGATTTGGTACCTATTAAGAACTCAAAATACTAAATTACAGCCAATTCGGTGGGAAAAATGCGATTAAATCCTCCAAAATACTGAAAATTAGGAGGTAGTGTTATATGGGGGCTACCAGAAAAAGTGGGCGTATATGAATAATTTTTTTTTTTTTTTTGTGGAGACATTTAGTGCCCCATGAGAACCCAATGTACCAAATTTCAGCGAATTCGGGTGACAAACGCGCTCAAGAAAATACCGAAAATTGGGGATACTGTTATATAGGGGCTATGCCTAAACGTGGACCGATATATCCCATCTTCCACCTGCCTGCAGACAAAAGACAAACCTATGCAAAATTTCACCATCCTATCTCAATTCCTTGATTACAACAGACGGACGTATGGATATGACTAGATCGTCTCAGGTGGTGGAGGGTATAAAAAAAACATCATGCAAAACATGTCACTTCAAATCCGGAGTAGAACAGAAAAAATATAATGTAAGGAGTATAAGCCTCTTACCCTCTTCGAAGCCATTACTTATTTTTTTCCTCACTCAAAGCAAGCGAAAAAAATACTTCTAGTCCCATTGCATATTTTACGTTCATTTATACTAACATTTGGATAGATAACCATGAGAAAAAATATCTCTCTCACACACACACACATACATACAGATATACATACACACAGTGTGGTGGAAGTAAATCCTTGGACGAAAAGTAAACTGATTTGCCTCCATTTCACGGTATCCAAAGGATGATAGGTGGGGTGGTTGGTGTTTGCCTTTTAAGCAAATGCTGGTTGGTGGAAAAGACCTGCATGGCCTTCATTCGTTATTATGGCCATTACGAAATTTTGCCTTACGCCGAAGATGGAACCGAATTGCAGTAAGTAGTGAAATAAATATTTCCCGTCAACAATATTTTCACGAACAGATTATAATAAAACAAAAACCCCCAATTGAAATTGACATTGAACTTTTTTTTTTGGTTCTCCTGCTGCCTTCTCAGGACATTTGTTATGACCATAAACAAAAAAAAAAGAAAAAAATTGGAACCGAAGGATTTTCATTTATCGCCTTTATTGAGAGTGAAATGAAATATGACAATAAGTATGCAAAAGACACCAGAGCAGTTCGAATGGGATGGGAGAATAAATATTCGATTTTTAAATGGTTTTATTAGCATCCAGCTTAAGGACGACAGTCAATTTAGTGCAGAATTGAAGATGACAGATAGGATAGGATTTGTACAGGCCAAGGCTTGGATTGTTTAAAGAATATCTTTCAGGGAACTACATAAGGTGTAGATTTTTAAAATGTATTTCTTCAAGCATGGATTCTTAGAATAATATTTTTTTAAGGATCTAAAAAAGTCGTGGATTTATTAAATATATTTTTTTAAGCATCCACATGATGCGTGGATTTTTTAATAATCTTTTTTTCAAAATGTGTGCATATGTTTGTAACAGGCAAAAGGAAACGACAAAGACCCATATTTCCTTTTGAGAATATGCATAGAATCACTTTTTATGTCGATTTATGCATGTCCGTCTGTCCGTCCGTCGTTCCTTGTTAAATTGCAAACAAAGTACAGGTCGCATTTATGATCCGAATTGGATGAAATTTGGTAGAGGTCACTTATTTGGCCAAAGCCCTATTGAAATTGAGAAAAATCTATTCATATTTAGATATAGCTCCCATATATATTTTCGTCCGATTTAATGTGAATGGTGTACCGATTTGAACGAAATTTGGCACAGCATACTGAATAAGGTCTTAAATGATGTCTGCCAAGTTTCATGAAAATCGGTCCAGATTTAGATATAGCTCCCATATATAGTTTCGTCCGATTTCATGTAAATGGTGCCCCAAAGTCCCTATATATCTTTTGATTTGCACGAAATTCGGCACAACGTACTGAACTAAGCCTAGATTGATGTCTGCCAAGTTTCGAGAAAATCGGTCCAGATTTAGATATAGCTCCCATATATAGTTTCGTCCGATTTTAGGTAAATAGTGCACCAAAATCCCTATATATCTTTCGATTTACACGAAATTTGGCAAAGCGTACTGATCTAAGTCTAGAACGATGTGTGTTAAATTTCGTGAATATCGGCTCAGATTTAGATATAGCTCCCATATATATCTTCGTCCGATTTGAGGTAAATGGTGCACCCAAGGCCCTATATATCTTTCGATTTGCACGGAATTTGGAACAACGAACTGAATTAAGCCTAGAATGATGTGTGCGGAGTTTCGTGAAAATCGGTTCAGATTTAGATATAGCTCCCATATATATTTGGTTCCGATTTAAGGTAAATGGTGTACGAAAGTCCCTATATACCGATCGATTTGGACGAAATTTGGCACAGCGTACTGAATTAAGTCTAGAACGATGTGTGTTAAATTTCGTAAAAATCGGTTCATATTTAGATATAGCTCCATAAATATTTTCCTCCGATTTTAGGTATATGTTGCAACAAAGTCCCTATATTTCCTTCGATTTGCACGAAATTTGGCATAGCGTACTGAATTGGGTCTGGAGTCATGTCTGCCAAGTTTTGGAAATCGGTTGAGATTTAGATATAGCTCCCATATATATCTTTGTCCGATTTGAGGTAAATGGTACACCCAAGTCCCTAAATATCTTTCCATTTGCACGAAATTTTGTGCAACGAACTGAATTAAGCCTAGAATAATGTGTGCGGAGTTTCGTGAAAATCGGGTAAGATGTAGATATAGCTCTAATATATTTTTTCGTCCGATTTTATGTAAATGGTGCACCAAAGTCCCCCTATATGTTTCGATTTGGAGGAAATTTGGCATAGCGTACCGAATTAAGTCTAGAATGATGTGTACGGAGTTTCGTGAAAATCGGTTAAGATTTAGATATAGCTCCCTTATATATTTTCGTCCGATTTTAGGTAAATGGTGCACCAAAGTCCCTATATATCCTTCGATTTGCACGAAATTTGGCGTAGCGTTCTGAATTAATTCTAGAACGATGTGTGTTAAATTTCGTGAATACCGATTCAGTTTTAGATATAGCTCCCATATATATTTTCGTCCGATTTAATGTAAATGTTGCACCAAAGTCCCTATATTTCCTTCGATTTGAACGAAATTTGGTACAGCGTACTGAATTGGGTCTGGACTCATGTCTGCCAAGTTTCGTGAAAATCGGTTCAGATTTAGATATAGCTCCCATATATATTTTCGTCCGATTTTAGTTAAGTAGTGCACCAAAGTCCCTATATATCCTTCGATTTGCACGAAATTTGGCATAGCGTACTGAATTAAGTCTAGAAAGATGTATGTTAAATTTCGTAAATATCGGTCCAGATTTAAATATAGCTCCCATATATATTTTCGTCCGATTTAATGTAAATGGTATACCAAAGTCCCTATATATCTTTCAATTTGCTCGAAATTTGGCACAGCGTACTGAATTGAGCCTGGAATGATGTCTGTCAAGTTTCGTGAAAATCGGTTGAGATTTGCATATAGCTCCCATATATATATATATACGTTGATTTCCCATTGATCTTTATAAGAGGTTGATTTCTTAAAAATATATTTTTTTGTCATGTTTGTTTTTGTTGTCATACAAAATATGTTAACCAGAGATAAGCTAAGTTTGAACGTCAATCCCGTTTACATTTGCTTTAATTCTTTAACTCTTATCAAAAATTTCAATTAATAAATACACCCAACATATGAATATATATTTTTTTATTTTTGTTCAATACACATTTGATCTCCAAAGTGAAATGTTGTACTTTATACTGGTGCTAGGACTTTCGGTATTGGCTGTGGATGCCGTACCGCCCTGTGGTAGCCGTACTCTGTGGGCAAGTCAAATATTTTTAATAAAACAAAAATACGTTGATATGTTTTTTTCTACTAAAACCAGGAACCTCAGGATGGAATCGTAAATTCAAATCCTGAACAAGAAATTGTGCAGCTACGAAATCAATTTGTGCAACGTCATTGGGAACTAATGACTTTAAATCTTAGGAAAAAGCTTACGATATTTGAACAGAAACTCGTAAAACTTGAAAATGAATTGGGGTTGCCTTCAGAGATAACCGATATCGCTGGTATCAACGACGGTGAGCCGAACCAAATATCTGCTGTTGAGAAAATAAATTCTACTGATATAAGTGATGATGGCGAGCTAAGTGAAAATGAACCCGAACAACCTCTGCCAGATAATCTTAAACCTGCTGCTGAGAAAATATATTTTACCGATATAATGGATGATGGTGAGTTTTGCCTAACCCAAAGCAAATACTTAAAACAAAACAAGTAGTTTTCTCAAAAAAAAAAAATATATATGGGAGATATATCTAAACCTGAACCGATTTTTACGAAACTTAGCACACATCATTCTAGATCTAACTCAGTACGCTGTGCCAAATTCGAATGATTTTCAGAGATGCTGGTGCTCCAATTACCTAAAATCGGATGAAAATATATATGGTAGCTATATCTAAATCTGAACCGATTTTCATGAAACTTAGGACACATTATTATAGACGCAATCATCACCACTTTGGCTATTTTGAACCGATTTTCATGAAACTTAGCACACATTATTATAGACGCAATTCAGTACGCTATGCCAAATTTCGTGCAAATCGAAGGATATATAGGGTCTTTGGTGCACCATTTACCAAAAATCGGGCGAAACTATATATGAGAGCTATATCTAACTCTGAACCGATTTTCATGAAACATAGCACACATTATTATAGACGCAATTCAGTACGCTATATCGAAATATGAACCGATATTCACGAAACTTAGCACACATTATTCTAGGATCAATTCATTACGCTGTGCTAAATTTCGTGCAAATCGAAAGATATTTAGGGACTTTGGTGCACCATTTACTTTAAATCTGGCGAAACTATATATGGGAGCTATATCTAAATCTGCACCGATTTTCACGAAACTTTGCACACATCATTCTAGACGTAATTCAGTACGGTATGCCAAAATTCGTTCAAATGAAATGGGACTCTGGAGCACCATTTACCTAAAATCGGGCGAAACTATATATGGTAGCTATATCGAAATCTGAACCGATTTTCAGGAAACTTAACACACATCATTCTAGACCTAATTCAGTACGCTATGCCAAATGTCGTGCAAATCTAAAGATATATAGGGACTTTGGTACACCATTTACCTTAAATCGGACGAAAATATATATGGGAGCTATATCTAAATTTGAGCCGATTTTTTCCCAATTTGAATAGGGTTCGTCCTTGGGCCAAAAAAGTGACCTGTGCCAAATTTCATCCAATTCGGATCATAAATGCGACCTGTACTTTGTTTACAATTTAACATGGGCAGACGGACGGACGGATGGACATGCATAAATCGACTCAGAAAGTGATTCTATGCATATTCTCAAAAGGAACCATGGGTCTATCTCGATTATTTTTGCCTGTTACAAACATATGCACAAAGACATAATACCATGTACCACAGTGTTGTGAAGGGTACAAAAAAAGTATCCACAAAAATGGATACTTGAAAAAATATTATTTATTTTTAAATCCAATCCTATGCTAGGTTTTTGAAGAATATTTGTTCTTCCTCTTGAAGAATATTTTTTAAAAAGTTCAAGGTTTTTGTATTGTTTGTAATATTTGTATTCTTCATCTTCCTTTTTAGATGAGCCGATGAAATGCAAATGGAATAATGATTCCAACTTCGTATGGTATGTACCTCCCGATCCAAATTACAAGACCAAGCCCAAATTATGATTAAGTGATTCTCTCTCTCACACACACTCTCTCTTTCTCTCTTCAGCACAAATTTATCGCTTGCCGAGAGTTGTGCCGATTCAAATAGCTTCAATTGTCGTAATGGACTGTGTCGCATACGAAATCACATCTATGGTCCCAAGTCATTTTGGGTACCCTGTGATGGCGATTGGACAATTATCCAGCGACGTATTAATGGAACCGTGGATTTTAAACGTAGTTGGATGGAATATCGGACAGGCTTTGGAGATTTGAATGGAGAATTTTGGCTCGGCTTAGAAAAGATCCATTCCCTAACAACTCTATACGGATACGCTGAACTTAAAATTGAAATGCAGGATTTTCGCAATGTCTGGGGTTACGCCCACTATAGATGGTTTTCTGTTGGCAATGAAACCACAAAATATCAACTAACGGTGTGGGATTATATTGTATCAACTGCAGGGAACTCGTTCAATGCGCATAGAGACGAGCATTTTTCAACATTCGACCAAGACAATGATAAGAGCAGTGAGGAAAATTGTGCCTCCGGATTAAATGGGGGTTGGTGGAAATATTATTGCAAGACGAAGTATGTTAAAAGGGTGAACTAATAAGAATGATGGATTTTCTTTAATATATTTTTGTTTGCTTTATTTTTTTGTCAACAGCCGCTACATAAGCAATTTGAATGGATTCTATTACAAAGATGGTTTCGTTCCCGAAGACAAGCCTGACAGTGGAATTATGTGGAAAACATTTCAAGAATTCAATTCATTGAAATTTGTTCAAATGAAAATTAAACTAAATAAATAATTTTTCAAGGATCTCTTTGGGAAATAGATAAAATATTTTTTTAAAAAATATTTTTTCGATGGCCTATATAAGGCGTGCATTTATTAAACATAGCATTTCAAGGAACCATATAAGGGAAGATTTTTTTATTAAATATGTTTCAAGGATCTAAACAAGGCGTGGATTTTTTAAAAATATTTTTTCAAGGCCTGGTTTTGTTAAAAATATTTTTTAAAACCTTTACAAGGCGCGCATTTTTATACCCTTCACCACACTGTGATACAGGTTATTATGTCTTTGTGCATATGTTTGTAACAGGCAAAAGGAAACGAAATAGACACATGGTTCCTTTTGAGAATATGCATAAAATCACTTTTTAAGTCGATTTATGCATGTCCGTCCGTCCGTCTGTCTGTCCATGTTAAATTGTAAACAAATGCGACCTGTACGCAATTTTAATCCGAATTGAATGGAATTTGGCACAGTTCACTTATTCGGCCCAACGACGAACCCAATTGAAATTGGGAAAAATCGGTTCAGATTTAGATCTAGCTCCCATATATATTTTCGCCCGATTTAAGGTAAATGGTGTAACAAAGTCCCTATATATCTTTCGATTTGCACGAAATTTGGCATAGCGTACTGAATTAAGCCTAGAATGATGTGTTTCGTGAAAATCGGTTCAGATTTAGATATAGCTCCCATATATAGTTTCGTCCGATTTTATGTAAATAGTTCACCACAGTCCCTATATATCCTTCAATTTGCACGAAACTTGGCATAGCGTACTGAATTGAGAATGATGTCTGCCACGTTACGAGAAAATCGGTTCAAATTCATATATAGCTCCCATATATATTTTCGTCCGATTTAATGTAAATCGTGCACCAAAGTCCCTATATATCGTTCGATTTGCACGAAACTTGGCATAGCGTACTGAATTAAGTCCTAAACGATATGTGTTAAATTTCGTGAAAATACGTTCAGATTTAGATATAGCTACCATATATACATATATATATATCTTTCGATTTGCACGAAATTTCGCATAGCGTACTGAATTGAACCTGAAGTAATGTCTGCCCAGTTTCGTGAAAATCGGTTCAGATTTAGATATAGCTCACATATATATTTTTGTCCGATTTTAGGTAAATGGTGCACCCAAGGCACTATATATCTTTCGATTTGCACGAAATTTGTCACAGCGTGCTGAATTGGGTCTGGAGTTATGCCTGCCAAGTTACGAGAAAATCGGTCCAAATTCATATATAGCTCCCATATATATTTTCGTCCGATTTGAGGTAAATGGTGCACCAAAGTACCTATATATCTTTCAATTTGCACGAAATTTGGCATACCGTACTGAATTACGTCTAGAATGATGTGTGCAAAGTTTCGTGAAAATCGGTTCAGATTTAGATATAGCTCCCATATATGTTTTCGTCCGATTTTAGGTAAATAGTCCACCAAAGTCCCTAAATATCTTTCGAATTGCACGAAATTTGTCACAGCGTACTGACTTGGGTTTGGAGTCATGTCTGCCAAGTTTCGTGAAAATCGGTTCAGATTTAGATATACCTCCCATATATGTTTTCGTCCGATTTTAGGTAAATATTCCACCAAAGTCCCTAAATATCTTTCGATTTGCACGAAATTTGTCACAGCGTTCTGAAATAAGTGCAGAATGATGTGTGCTAAGTTTCCTGAAAATCGGTTCAGATTTAGATATAGCTCCCATATATATTTTCGTCCGATTTAAGGTAAATGGTGTACCAAAGTCCCTATATACTGTTCGATTTGCACGAAATTGGTCACAGCGTACTGAATTGGGTCTGCAGTCATGTCTGCCAAGTTTTGTGAAAATCGGTTCGGATTATATCCAAATCCGCACCGATGACTGCAGACCTGACTGCAGACCCAATTCAGTGCGCTGTGACAAATTATATATTCTCGTCCGATTTTGTGTAAATGGTGTCCTTTCGATTTGCACGAAATTTGTATAGCGTATTGAATTAATTCTAGAATGATGTGTGTTAAGTATCGCGAAAATCGGTTAAGATTTTAATATAGTTCCATATATATTTTATTCCGATTTAAGGTAAATGGTGTACCATAGTCCCTATATATCTTTCGATTTGCACGAAATTTAGTATAACGTACTGAATTGAGCCTAGAATGATGTGCGCGGAGTTTCGTAAAAAACGGTCCAAATTTAGATATAGCACCCATATATATTTTCGTCTGATTTAATTTAAATGGTGCACCAAAGACTCTATATATATTATTCGATTTGCACGAAATTTGGCATAGCGTACTGAATTGAGTTCATATTTAGATATTTTCCCATGGTACGCAGACGACCTCTTATCTGCCCGAATGAAATTAAATTAATCATAGGTTGCAGAAAGACATGAGTATTTTTCTTCGTGGGGACATTGACATGCAATTTTAAGGATACATATGTACAATATATCGAAAGTGGTGAAGGGTATCATATAGTCGGCCCAGTCCGACTTTACTACTTTCCTTACTGTTTTTTTTTTTTTTTTTGTTGGGTTAGGTTCGACCATTTGTTTGTCCTGCCGGTGTCGCTCACACTTATGTAAATTTCCGCACACTCCCAACTCCATAGTCCATACAAATGAGCATCAGCACTTTGGTCATTTGTCCTGCTTTCGTGCAGGGTTTTGAGATTCGTTTACATTTCCAATGTGTCAGTCGTCGTTCATGTCGTCGCATGGTATTTGCGTAACGTTTGCCGTCTACATTTATTTTCATAATGGAAAAACTGTGTTCGGTAATTATACCCTTCACCACTCTGTGGTACAGGGTATTATGTCTTTGTGCATATGTTTGTAACAGGCAAAAGGAAACGAGATAGACACATGGTTCCTTTTGAGAATATGCATAGAATCACTTTCTGAGTCGATTTATGCATGTCCGTCCGTCCGTCTGTCCGTCTGTCCGTCCGTCTGTAGATGTTAAATTGTAAACAAAGTACAGGTCGCATTTATGATCCGATTTGGATGAAATTTGGCAAAAGTCACTTATTCGGCCCAAGGACGAACCCTATTGAAATTGGGAAAAATCGGTTCAGATTTAGATATAGCTCCCATATATATATTTAACCGATTTAATGTAAACGGACCCTATATATCTTTCGATTTGCACGAAATTTGGTACAGCCTAATCATTTAGGTCTAGAATGATGTATGCCAAGTTTCGTGAAAATCGGTCCAGATTTAGATATAGCTCCCATATATAGTTTCGTCCGATTTCATGTAAATGGTGCGCCAAAGTCCCTATATATCTTTCGATTTGCACGAAATTTGGCATAACGTATTGAATTAAGCCTAGAGTGATGTCTGCCAAGTTTCGAGGAAATCGGTCCAGATTTAGATATATCTCCCATATATAGTTTCGTCCGATTTCATGTAAATGGTGCCCCAAAGTCCCTATATATCTTTCGATTTGCACGAAATTTGGCATAACGTACATAATTGACCCTAGAATGATGTCTGCCAAGTTTCGTGAAAATCGGTCAAGATTTATATATAGCTCCTATATATAGTTTCGTCCGATTTCAGGTAAATGGTGCACCAAAGTCCCTATATATCCTTCGATTTTCACAAAATTTGGCATAACGTACTAAATTGAGCCTAGAATGATGTCTGTCAAGTTTCGTGAAAATCGGTCCTGATTTAGATATAGCTCCTATATATAGTTTCGTCCGATTTCAGGTAAATGGTGCACCAAAGTCCCTATATATCCTTCGATTTACACGAAATTTGGCATAACGTACTGAATTCAGCCTAGAATGATGTCTGCCAAGTTTCGAGAAAATCGGTCCTGATTTAGGCATAGCTCCCATATATAGTTTCGTCCGATTTTATGTAAATGGTGCACCGACGTCCCTATATATCCTTCGATTTGCATGAAATTTGGCATAACGTTCTGAATTGAGCCTAGAGTGATGTCTGCCAAGTTTCGAGAAAATTGGTCCAGATTTCTATATAGCTCCCATATATAGTTTCGTCCGATTTCATGTAAATGGTGCACCAAAGTCCCTATATATCTTTCGATTTGCATGAAATTTGGCATAACGTACTGAATTGAGCCTAGAGTTATGTCTGCCTTGTTTCGTGAAAATCGGTCCTGATTTAGATATAGCTCCCTTTTATTATAGATTGATTTTAAGTAATTGACGCACCAAGGAACCAATAGGCTGATAGGAACAAAACTTTCTGAAATTAGTATAACCTAACCCGTGACAAGTTTCTTTGAAATCGCTTAATATTTGGATAGAGCTTCCATCTATATTTCCGAACGATTTCAAGTAAATTGGGCATCAAACTCCTCATGTTAGTCAGTTTGACATCAAATTTTGCACAACGTACAAAATTGAGCATAGAATTATGTAGTTGCGTTTTCTAGAAGTACAGACATAGCCCAACGGATGACCCATTTATATTTGTTTGAAGTCGATTTACATACTTTATTGTAACTACGAATGACATGTTTATGGATAGATCTAGGTAGATTCACATTTAGATAAATATCACATTTTTTTCATCCAATTTTATGTTATAGTCCTGTTTAATATACCCATAGTGGTGAAGGGTATCATATAGTCGGCCCCGTCCGACTTTACTTCTTTTCCTTACTTGTTTTTCTTTGCATTATACATTTATATTTTTTATTTTTTTTCTTCGTTCAACTCTCTTTAGATTTTTTTCTAAGTTCGTTGTTTTTTTTTTCTAATACTCCTTGAAACGCTTCATCTCAATTGGATTGGGGTAGTAGGGGGGGCAGGGGGATAGGGCGAAAGGGTGGGTTTATATTTGAAATAGAATAATTTTACAAAAAGAGATTTTCAAATAGATGCCGAACGAATGTCACACGTGCAGGGCAGCACTTTAGAAGGGGTCGCAACGAAGAGTAAAG